TTTTTTTTTTTTTTTTTTTTTTGGGATATAGTGTTTTAGTTTTTTAACTGGATATGAATCAAAATCAATTTAACTCAGGTCATCTCTAGTCCTAAAGTAAGTCAAATATTTAATTTTATCTTTACACATTTGTGATACAATTTAGTCTACGTTAAATGTATTTTTTTATTTACGTTTATTTCAAATAAATTTTAATATAAATGTATATATAATCTTATAGAAACGTATTTTACCAACATAACATAATAAAAACATGTTTATATATAACAACACGAGATCGATTCATTAATTCAAGCAATAAAAATACAAATTACATAGTAAATATGAAAAAAAAATAAGCACAATTACAAAAAAAAAAAAAAAAGAATACAATAACAATGCATCTCATTTATAAATTAATTAAGAAAATAATTTGTAGAGACCACCATATGGACATAGAAAAATAAAATTTTAATGATATATTTAGATTCCATACAAGAAACCAACGTCGTGAATATTTGAAAATGACAAAAAGTTGATTTTAAGAAAAAAAAAAAAAGAAAAGAAAAAGCAGCCGTAGATATCACAAGACAATAATATTTTTGGTTCTTTCAATTAGTTTTTCAAGATCTTGGGGTCTGGACGTGGTTCGGGAGACTACTAGAATAAAAATTTTATTATTCATATGTTTAGTAGATTTATAAGTCATCTGAATTCCAATTATATTGTGTTTGTTTGTGTATTTTGTGATTAATGTGTTGTAACTTTTGATTTTAGTGAAGGCTACTTGTTTTACTGTGATAAATTTTTATTCATATGATATTATTTGATATGGGATACCGTACGGGTCGACTTGACATGATAAGCGGACTAACTGAACCGGGTAACTAATCAAGCCAATAGGAAGTCGAAGGATAGAAAAGTCGGAGAGTCATCAGGTCGATGGTGACATCGTAAATAATGGGGATTGCCAGCAAATCAAACTAGGGTCCTCATACGGCCTAATAGAAACTCGACCTGAAGGTAGACATGGCCAAGGTCAGCCCGGCCCGTCGACCTGGCACGGACCTGATACGGACCCAGCCCGGAGAGTCCGGGCCGATGACCCACTTTTTCTATTTATTTTTAATTTTTTCTATTGTTTTTTTTTAAATGTCGGACCCGGCCTGGACCTGGACCCGGCCAACCAGGCCATTGACTCGACACGAGTATAGGTCCGTGCCGGGTCCCGGTCATTATTTTTGAGCTAGCCCCACGTCCCGGCGGCTCGGCCCGGGTTTTGGCCATGTCTATCTTAAGGTATTACGATCGATGGATCAACATGGTGAACAATTTACGATCTTGATGTAGAAGGCGCGCTTCCTGGAGGTGAATCTGATTGGTTGCGTGATTAGACTATCGAATAGGAAAGACTTAGTGATAAGAAGGAATCTAACTGGGATAAGAACACACGTAGATTTTAACAAAATTTGGCAATTCGAGAACCTGCGCATTATGGACGGGTAGTTCGGGTACTTGGGTACGATCCGAGCACAATTGGGTAACAAGGCACCACCCCTATATATAGAGTGAGGTATGACAATACAAAAACCTTACACACTCTATAAACTTTCATATCTTGCATAGACTGTTCATCGTCTTTTTCATCATTGTGGAGTTACTTGATCATCGAAGTGCTCATCTCAATCTATTAATATTGCAATACCAACTAATGCATGATTGGTTTAATAGATGAAATTTGATAGGAATGAAATGAGTTGAAGAATAGAATGAATATGGGAAAGAAATTAAACCACTCTTTTCATTGACATGTTTGGTATGCAGAAGGAATAAGACCGAATAGAATAACAATATCATTCTATATTATCATTTATCATTATTTTATATAAAAATATTAATATTTATATTAATGTTATTTTTTATGTTAATAATAATATTATTTTTTTACACACACACACACACACACACACACACACACACACACATATATATATATATATATATATATATATATATATTAATCATAAATTGGTGAATTGTTTAGAAAATAATTAGTGAGTTGTGTATATATATATTAGCTAATACAAATATAGCATTATATAAACCACTATAAGAATATGTAGTGGAATATAATTTTTTATATCATAATTCAATTTATGAATAAATTAGAATATGATTTATAAAAGTAACATAATATCTTCTAAAATTATTTATAGATGCAATTTTAGTTTTACTTTTATATAAGATGGTTTGGGCACGTGCGTAAGAGAAGCTTAGAAATATTAGAATTAAGAACACAAATCAAAAGTGGGACTAACAGGGGCGGATCTACATATGGTCCAGCCTAAACTGGATTTTTTGTGCTACCTATATATACAATTTATATAGTTAATATGTATTAATTAAGAATTTATATGTAATATTTATTTATTTTAAATTTTTTAAAAATTATTACCAAATAACATTATTATTTTAATTTAAAATGATACACCTCACTTATCAGACATGACAATATTATATTACAATATTTTTAGTACTTAGACCATATAATAAGTTTGATAGATAAATTTATTATTTTTCAGTTATTGATAAATATCAGTTTTTTTATTGATAGAGATCAGATAGGCATAATTATTTTAATTTATATATACAATATGAATATGAAATTATAAATTGACAAAATATGAATAATTTAATTATCATATATAAAAAATAATAACATATATGCGTGTTATTAACTTTAAAATAGACTTACCATTTAAGTGAGTCAAGTGTTTAAATTTGAAAATTCTGGATAAAGATCAATATTTCTATGAATTATTTCGAATCCTAAGATACTGACATATAGAATTACAAAGTGGTGGAAGTTGACAGTAGAAAAGCTCTACATTTATATATATGAAGATAATCCATAAGGAACTTTTTATAAAAACATGACCAAAAATGATGACGTTTAGGTCTTTCTGAAATTAATAAAATTATATCTCAAAACGACTTGTTAATAATTTACTACAAAAAAAAAGGAAAAAAAATTGTAAAAAATTTGGTATATTTCTTAATAATCATAGAAAGACAGAATAAAATAACCAGACATCACTCTCAATTTCATTTTTTAGTATCAAGTCAAAGACAAATTGAATAGGAAATCCCTCAACTCCAGGTCGCTCCAAAGATTTTTATAATTATTAATATAAGTACTTTGTGATATGGTTAAAACAATTTCAACAATTTTTGCACCGACTAATTAAAATTTCTGGATCCGCCGCTGAGTGGGAGGGCAGACCTAAGAAGACTTGGAAGAAAATAATAAAAAATAATTTTAAACATTTAAATTTTAATGTAGATGTGTATTTTGAACGAGTACGATGGCGAGTCGGCAACATGCAATCCATATAGCGTCGGCCCCACTTAGTGAGATATTAATGACTTCTTGTTGATGTTGTATAAGTATTTAATATACTTAACTAAAATATGAACAATAAATAAAAATAAGTTCTTAAATTTTTTATTTGAAATTTAATTTTGGAAATTATTTTATTTAATATAATTTATTCACAATTTATAGTATATATTATATATTTATTAATTATTATTATTTGTTAATTTTAATTTTTGAAAAAATTATTCCTACACATATGGTAATGAAAAAAATCTTGCATTTGCTGAGGAATGGCTATTCCCACGAAGATGAGTTATGCAATTCTCATTGAAATGGTCATTCAATTTTTAAAATATATACTAATCGTGGGACAAAGAATGAGTAAAAAAATAATCAATCTATTCCGATGTCATTATCTCATACCAATCATACCATAAATAGTCGGCCCACGATAAATTTAAATCCTGGCTTCACCACTTTTGGCAAAGAGAAACCCGTCTTCGATTTCTCTTCTTGAAAGTTCTGCAATAGTACTAATTAAAACTTTTCACTGCAAACATACATGCTATTCGTCTCTCAAGATAAGAACATATAGTTCAAATCCAACCCCACTTGTTTGTCTGGCACATGTATGTATAAATAAGTTGAAAGATAAACTCAAACTGACACCATCAAAATAATAATAATAATAATAATTAATTAGAAAAAAAAAGAGAGAAAATTTATTATAGATAAAGAAAAAAAACCCAAGAAAAATCACAAAATCAACAATGGAAATCAGCTGGCTCTACCCTTCCCTCACTCTCCTTCTCATCCTCTTAATCTCCTTCAAATCATTCTCACGAAAGGGCAAAAACCACAAACTCCCGCCAAGCCCGGCCCGAGCCCTCCCTATCCTTGGTCACCTCCATCTCCTCAAGGCCCCAATCCACCGCACTTACCACCGCCTCGCCCAGAGAGCGGGACCCATCTTCTCCCTCCGCCTCGGCCGCCGCCTTGCCGTCGTCGTCTCCTCCTCGGATATCGTCGAGGAATGCTTCACCCGAAACGACATCGTCCTCGCAAACCGCCCCCGGCTGATGATCGGCAAATACATCGGCTACAACTACACCACACTCGCCGGCTCCCCCTACGGAGACCACTGGAGGAACCTCCGCCGGCTGACGACCATCGAGGTCTTCTCCGGCGCGCGGCTCAACACGTTCAACTCCATCCGGCACGATGAGGTCCGACTCCTGCTGCGGAAGCTCCACAACTCCGGGGGATTTGCGAGGGTGGAGCTCAGATCTGGGCTTATGGAGGTGACCTTCAACAACATCATGCGGATGGTGGCCGGGAAGAGGTACTTCGGGGTGGTCGACGACGGTGATGAGGAAGCCAGGGAGTTCCGGGAGCTGATTGAGGAGGTTCTCGGCTACGGCGGCGTGTCCCACCCGGCGGATTTCTTCCCGGTGCTGAGGTGGATCGATTACAAGGGGTTCCAGAAGAAATTGGCCACGGTAAGCCGGAAAATGGATGCCGTTTTGCAGCGGCTGATCGACGATCAACGGCAGAGCAAGGGCGGCAACACCATGATCGATCACCTCCTTTCCCTGCAGGAGAATGAACCCGAGTACTACAATGACGTCACCATTAAAGGAATTATTCTGGTATGTTCCTTTTAAAGGCGTGTTTCCATACAAAAAATTTTGCTCTAAATGGTTTTTTTTTTT